CATAGGGGTCCCATGTCTAAGCCTCTATGTTCAGCAACTTCTCCTGAGGGGACACTTTGCTCCAGCTGGTGACTAAGAGAAGGTATAAGTACAACTTGTGTAACAGATTCAATGAAGACTTCTGCAAATTCAGAACCCATCCCAACCAGTCTGGCATTTTAATTGCCTTGCAAAGATCCTCCCGCACATTTTGCACAGAGCAGTCCTTCAGGAACAGATCATCCAGGTAACCCACAATGTGAACCCCCTGTGACCTTAGAAGGGCAAGGAATAGAGCTGTATTGGTAATGACTCTGGGGAATGTGGAAATTCCACAGAGCAGGGCTACAAACTGAAAAGGATGCATCACTAGTGCGTAACACAGAAAGCATTGTCGAGAAGGAAATTGGCACACGCAGATAGGCATCCTTGATGTCCACCGACACCAGGAATTTCCCTTGCTGAAGAAAGGCTATGACCATGTAAGCCAACTCCATATGGAATTTTTGGAACTGCAGGAACCTATTTAAGGCATTTATATCCAGAGTGGGATGAACCCCCCGTTCAGATTGGGAACTGTGAAAAAGTGTGGAGTAAGACCTCAGAAATCTCTCTCCTGCCGCCACTGTGATAATGACCTCAGCAGCTGTTGCAAGGCATGGAGCAGATCCACCTTAAGCTAAGGAAACATTGGAGGGCATGAAGCTTACAGGATGACAAGTTGAGAATTCCAGCTTGTAACCCTGAGAAACAATGGAGTGGACCCAAGAGTCCTGCTTAACTTCCTGCTCCCAAACTGTCAACAGACAAATCCGCCACATGCACAATTGGGGGCGTCCCTTCATTGCAAAGAGGGCTTGTGAATCAGGGCTTTCACTTAAACTGGCTTGGTCCCGGAAGCAGAGGCCTGTGAGGGATGAAAGGAACTCTTCCTAGAAGACCCTGGAGTAGACACGGGCGTTGGGACCTTTGGTTTCCACTTGTTGGGTAAGAGAGTACTTTTGCCATCTGTGATCTTTTTAATATTTATTTGATTTAATTGCAAAGATGTTCTCCCACAAAAGGAATGTGTTCCAGCTTTTTGCAAGCAGGCTCCAATGAACAATATTTAAAGGAGAACTATGACATGAGTGATTTCCACTCACCTCATAGTTCTAAGCCGACCTGTGACAATGAGACTGTCACAGGTCGGCTCAGTAGATCGGGAGGTGAGGGAACACATAACGGGTTCCCTCACCTCACGATCCTGTCAGGGCTCTCTGCCGTGACAGGGG